GCGGTTCGAGCTATAATACCCGGTATTTATGGACTAGTGTCATAAAAGGTACCACATGACCATGATAGTAAGACATATAAAGTGTGTTAAAAGTATTTTAAGTAATTTGAGATAACTCCTAATTATATGGATAATTGTGTAATTGTGAATTTTTAGTGAGAGATTAACTAAGTAATTAAGCTAATTAAGTAATTAAGATTATGGATAAAGCTTAAAGTGTCCCAAAACGTGGCAGAAAATTAGATGCAACTAAAACTCAAATGAGTGACTCTTACACTATGTAGCTAGGTGGCACAATTAATGAGATTGGTGGCCAAGTCATCACCTTTTTTGATAAAAACAATTAAGGAAGACGTATAAGCTTTCTAAGCTTATGGATGGAATTCACAAAAGTCATAATCTCAACGTGATGGCTTCAGCAAATATCATACAAGGTTATGATTAAATTCACAAAGAGATTATATGGAATTTGCTACAAAAATTCATACAAGACTACTTAGCAACGTGAGAATTTGTGATTCTAAGAGAACACGGTGCAATCTTTATCAAGAATATCATAAGGATTTTTCCCTACTTCGATCTGTCGTTATGTGTTCTTCAGAAAAGACATGTGTTAGAGGGATTGTCAAGAGAACCGGCTCAGGTATGTTAAGGCGATCCCTTCTTTCCTTTCGGCATGATCCATACGATACAAACGAAATGAGCAAATGCACAATTTTCATAAATGACTCTAGTCATAGAAATGCTAGAGATGCTTATGTTCTTGATTCCCCATATGTCCTATTATTTTATCATATGTTCATGGGTCTTAGAAAGTACTTAAGTTGATAAACTCTACATCATGATATTAATCAAAAAGCATAATGGTCTTATGACATTCCGAAAGGTTTTATTGAAGAACTTCTCATGCATTGCATTTATTTATACATGCACATTGACCCATGACCAGATGGTGTTAGATATATATATATATATTTGGGAAAGGTTACGGTGTTATATATGCACCACCACCTGATCAGCTGGTATACATTGATGATTTGCCAAAAGTGGTAGAGATGATATGATGGGATGCCCTCAGAGGCTTGATGATGTTATGAACGCATATACCCGTGCATGGTATAACATTTATACATATATGCATGACATTATAACATTAAATGATTCACAGAGCTATTCAGACATACATGTTTAGTGTTTTACTCCAAGCTTCTCTCATGTCTATTATTTACTGATTTTCATTCCTTACATACTCGGTACATTATTTGTAGTGACGTCCCTTTTGCCCGGGGACGCTGCGTTTCATGCCCCCAGGTTCCGATAGACAGGTTGAGAGCCCTCCAAGTAGGCTATTAGCTCAGCGGAAGGTGTTGGTGTGCTTCATTTGTTCCAGAGTTGCTTATGTGGTCAGTATGAGTAGGACATGTATTGATTAGTAAGGCGGGGTCCTAGCCCGACCTTTATGATATTTATGTACTCTTAGAGGCTTGTAGATATATGTCGTGTATATGAAAGATTGTACGGCCTTGTCGGCCTATGTTCAGTGTACGAGTGTTCATTTTGGTCTTATAGGCCAGTATGTCATATGTATAAGTTTGTATTCCCTTATGCTTTATTTCGGTTCATTTACCTATGATAGAATGATACGAAAGATACATTACGTTGGTACTCGGTTGAGTAAGGTACCGGGTGACCGTCACGGCCCATCGATTTGGGTCATGACAAGTAGATCCCTCCGTTCTCATATCTACACGAATAAACCCCACAGAACATCCATACCACTTCGAGGTCGATGTCAGAACTGGAATCATAACCAACTACGGCCACATTTTTTCCCCTCTCCTCGGAAAAGGAAGGTACATCGACCTGCCCTGACGGTGACGGATCACTCCTCAGAATAACTTCCACTGCTTTTGATCGCCCTCCTCCTTCCTCGGCGACCTCTAGCAAGGGAGCAATTTATACATCTATCAGGGGAAAAGTCTCAGCATTCGAAGCCACGCTGCCCTCAAATGCGGCCGTTGCCAGCTCAGGCTCACCCCTTGTTAACCCTTCACTTCCTACTATCTCACCGCCAACCTCTATTCTCCACCTCTTTAATGGAGCTGCTTCCTCCTCGCTCGGTGACGACTCCTCCACTAAATGTAATATAGGAGAAGTCGGAGTCTCTACTGATGGGGCAGCTGCCCGATGGCCAGGCCTACGCAGGCCCGGGGTCTGAGGAGAAGTAGCAGTCTGAACAGACTCGACTGCAGTCGCATCAAGCGACACCCGATTTAAGTACCCGATTGACGAAAAGCGGGGGTAGGAGCCTTCACTCTCCTCGGATCCCTCCGACCTAACAACAAAGAAAAACTACATGAAGTGAAAAAGAAGATGGTATGAAGGTCGAAGAAACTGAAGATCGAAACAAGTTGACTTACCGGTCGAAGAAGGTTTACATCCAAACTTCTTGTTCAACAATGACCACTCACATATCTCCACCGTGTGGGGCAAAATTTGACTCACCCAGTCGCGAATGTCGGCAACCAAAGTAGGAGGCTCATTCTCGGCTGCACAAAAAAGGAAGAAAAATGATTAAGTCATCGAAGAGAGACAACAAACAATTAGTTAGCAAAAACACTTACGGGCGAAGTTCCACGCCTCAGGGAATCTACTGCGCTTCGCCACCACGTTCTCGGTCTTAATGTAGAAGACGTTAAACCAAAACTGACGATTTGCCTTATCGTTCATCTTTGCCAATAATCCCTTGGTCCCACGGTGGCGAAAGTTTATCATCGTACCTTGGTGAAAGCTTGGCGCGAAAAGATGTAGTAGATGGTAGATGGAAATTCCACGGTTGGCCAGCTCCGCGTACTTTATCAACATAAGGAAGAGTTTATAAATATAAGGAGAGAGCTGGGTCAGACAGATTTCGTAGTAGCGGCAGAATTCCTCCGCCAACGTGGGAAGAGGAAGAGAATTGCCTACTTAGAACGGGTACACGTAAAATGCGCAATACACAAGACGATGAATATGGATCACGTTGTTCCCAGCTGGAACCAGATCGATGTGAGCAGGGATGTTGTACTTGGACCTAAACTCGGCAAGATGGGTTGCTTCCATCTCGGAATTCATAGGCTCAGGCTCGTCTGTAGGTGACTTCGAGAAGTCTGACCTGGAGCCTGAATTACGAGGAATGATTTCTTCCACAGTGAGAAAGCTTTTATCCTCTACAGTGACCACAACATCATCATCGTGATGGGGCATTCTCACTGCTAGTGGAGCTGGTTCAGGAACCTCATCAAAGACAAGGGGTGTATCCACCATTTTTAGTTAATTGAAAATACAGAAGATACGAACTCAAAAGAGGCAGAAACAACAGGAATCACTCGAACTAGAAAGGGGAGTAAGAATGCGAAAGATAGAAGCAACTGGAGTAGGAATACAGAAAGAAGAAGAAGAAGAGAGGCAAAGATGCAGGCTCAAAGATAGGAAAATGTAAAGGTTCGCTCAAAAGGGTTTCCCCCTTTATTTATAGAGAAACACTGGAGCTCAGATCGAGATAGTTAACCGTCAAATGCACAGGGATCGAAATGATAGGGACACGGGAAGAGATGCAACGCATCGGGAAGATGCGTAATGATGACGCGTGAGGCTGTGACGTCACGGCGAACCCACATCATTAAGTGTGGCCTCGAAACTCCACATCACCATCTCAGCCGCGATCATCACCACTCAATCCCCCCATCCGAATTTCTAAGACTACGACTAATGAAGTCCGCTCATTGAGGTTAACCAAAAGACGACCTTGATAAGTGGAGGGACTAATTGTATAGGTCAAAATCGAACTAGAGAAATTCGATACGCAGAGACAATTGTCATAAGTGACCTGCAAATCAATATGGGCGGTTTGGACGAGGTTGATCATTGGTTAACAGAACAAGCTGCTGAGTGGTTCGTCAAGGCCGAGGTCGAGCAACATGGATAGAAGGAACGGCTAGTATAGCTTTACAACCTTCAAAGGGAATATTCTATTGAATATTCCCTTTGTTTGTACCTTTTAGTGTTCTTTGGGAATATTCCATATAAATAGTAGGAGAGATAAGGCAAAAGTCATGTAAGATTCTATATGATAAGAACTCTTTTGAAAAGCAAGCTCTCGAGATAAATACATAGAACACATTTCTAAATAGATTGGTCTTTTTGGATTATTCCGTATCATTTTCACCAGATCCGAGAAAGTCTTCAATATTCTTATAAGTTTCTTGTCACTCATCATTGTCAGAAGGAGGAATCATCCACCTCATTCAATATTGGGTGAATCTTCCCATTTATTTACGTTTAGTGTTATTTATTGTATTTATTGCCTATCATTATTCTCATTCCATTAACAACCGTAACATTTAATGGGTATTGCATTATATCCAGTTTAACGTGGCCCCACATTATCTGCATAAACCTATTTTAGATTTAAAGTTATTATCTTTAAGTAGGATTTACCCTCTATCCTCTTATTTAATTAGTTTAACGAAAAGTTTTATACTTTTTGGTCAAACAAGTGGCACGTACACGATCGTGAAACACTATACGTGAATCCGCCCCTGCACACAGGAAGAGGTGGGACGCGAATGAGTTTATTTTAAAAGGCACTGGTTTTTTGTCAACTTAATCAAATGCATACACAAAAGATGCAGAATGTACAATTTAACGCTACTCAAAAATTTCAAAAATGCCTATGTTCATCCCTCTGCATTCCACTTAAAATAAATTATTAAGAAAGATAAAGAATCAATTTTTACATTCACATAAATTAAGACGTCTATCATTCATGCTGCAATTCCAACTATTTTATTTTGGGACATGGCGAGTAATTTGGAGAAAACAGGAGTAGAATCATGTGGTACGTGAGGCGAAAGGACATGAGAAACTATAGTATATATAAGTTGAGCAGAAAGCAGTGAATAAACAAACGTAAAGCTCACAAAATCAGCCAAATATTCTTTAAGAAACCATGACGGTCTTCCAAAAAGAGAGAGGAAAAGTAGAAAACCCCATTTGGAATTCACCTCAGATTCTCCAAACAAAGCATTCCAACAAAGTGTCACACCCCCCTCAGTATCATGCACTCAAAGCAAAGTATCAATCAAGATTTACAAACAAATTTAGTACTAGTACCATCCTATACAGAGTCACTCTTTTCCTGTCATAACAAAAGTTTTCCCGCATATCTCTTTCTTCTGATCCATGGCTTATCTACTCATAGCTTTTGTTTCTTTTGTCTTTCAATTTTTAGTCCCTAAAGCTCATAGCTATGGCCATGCACATGGCTGCCGATCATACTGCGGAAACTTGACCGTCGATTACCCTTTTGCACTTCAACCGGGCTGCGGCCACCAGGGCTACCGAGACCTCTTATATTGCATCAATAATGTGCTAATGCTTCACATTAGTTCAGGCTCGTACCGTGTTTTGGACATTGATTATGCATACCGTTCCCTCACCTTAGACGAACCTCACATGTCGACGTGCACGTCGATCATGCTCGGCAAACGGGGCAATGGATTTGTCGTCGAGCGGTGGCGAGAGCCGTACTTGAGCCCCATGACGGACAACGTGTTCATGCTGCTACATTGCAAGGCAGAATCACCACTCTTCCAAGGTTTCTCTGGAAAGCACTTGCCCTGCAGGAATGTTGCTGGGATGGGCTGTGATGACTACTATGGTTGTCCAGTATGGAGCCTAATTGGGCCGCAACGGGCGGGCTCGGTATATGGATCAGGCCCGCCCAAATGCTGTGCAATTGCATATGAAGCAATCAAGGATGTAAATTTGACCAGGCTTGGTTGTCAAGGGTACAGCAGTGCTTATAATTTAGCACCTTTGAGACTGGCTGGCCCTGATGAATGGTCTTATGGGATAAGGGTGAAGTATTCGGTTCAAGGAAATGAGACCTTTTGTAAAGCTTGTGAGGCAACTGGTGGATCTTGTGGCTATGATGTCAATGACTTTAGCAGTACTTTGTGCATGTGTGGTAGCTGGAATTCTACTTCCAATTGCGATTCAGGTAAGCAACAATATGAAATTTATAGGCACATTTAGAATTTTAAGTAAGTGGGTGCAGAGTCGTATGTTTGACAATTGTTCCGATGTGATTACATTAATGCTGAACTTGTTTGTCGTGCAGTTCCCTCAGCTTCGCATAGAAGAACTTGGTCGTTCATGGATGCACTAACAGGTATGCATCCTTGATTAGCTGCCTATTAATTCCTATGTTATCTGAATCTTAGATTTGTCATAATTACCCTCATGAGAAAATTAAGCAATAAGCATTGCCATCATAACATTTCTCATGGACAGAACTTATCTAAAGCTGTCTATGTTTATGAGAATAATAGTATTGCCAAGATAATTCACTAAATTAACTCGAGTTAATCTCGATTTGGCAAATTAGGCGTTTTCTAAAACCGCTGAGTCCAAATAATTTTGATCTTAGATCAAATTTCAGTTCAGCCCGAGTTATAGTAGGAAGTGCTGCACCTACATGATCTTAATTATATCCAAAATATATAAAAGATGCAAATGTTTGTTTACCTCGAAAAATGGGTTTAATAGTTAAAAGATAATTTGAGGTTTAAAAAATACGTGATATATTATAATACTAGTAATTAAATAGGTAATATTGAGCTTAAGTAAGAAGGAATAATGAACCAAATCAATGTTGTCGAAACAGTAGGGGCCTCGAGCTCGTCTATCCAGGGACCTCGAGGTCAGCTAAGACCAACAAAGTATGAACAATAAAGTAAAGGCAATAAAGCTGAAGAATAATTGTTGAGCACGTTAAACAAGAAAAGAATAACAATGTTCTATTGTAGTGAAAGATTTGATGCCTTACAAAATTATTGGGATCCCCTTTATATAGGAAGGGAAAACCCCAATATAGTACATTCCTCATAAAAGTAAAGGATTTTATTGATACAGGTGTATAACGGCCTAGTACGGATCTGTAACATTTCGTACAAACTTTATCCTTTAATTAATCCCCTAGTCCACGTGTTCTTAAGAAATTTCCGCTCTTTCTTGATTGACTTCGAGGTTGTGATGCCCTCGATATAAATCGTGTCAGGCCTTCGATTAGCTTCCTCGAGGAGGGTATCCCTTAGTCGGATCCGATATCCACTTCGAGTCTCCCGGGCTCGGACCTGTAGCCCGTTTTAAGACTTCAAAATATCATGCTCCTCGATTTTGATTGCATACAGATAGTCCTCGCGTTTCTTAGAATGGAATGATATGAAACGATTTTGACCTCGATTTCATCGCGCCTCTAGTGATGACATCATCCTTGTGAAACCAACGTTCGAAGTGACCGAAACGTCCCATCGGCCCACTTCCCCAAAAATATTAAATGCACGTCAATGCTGGTTGGCCACTAACGCCTTCGAACCGTGGTTGCCCCTTTATAAATATGGGGCATCTTCCTTTAGTAAATAAATTTACATTTCTTCAATCTCTACCAATCCTCATCTCTTTCTTCAATCACCTATCTCCTCCGCCTCTTTAAATGCCGTTAAATACCAAGCTCTAGCCGGAAACACTGCATCCCTGTTCACCTGCATTCCTTACCTTACAACCATGGCCAAAACTTCCAAGACGGTCCCTAAAAAGGATACATCATCATCATCCTCTGCCTCCCGGCTGGCCAAACCGGTGGCGCCGCCGACACTTGAAGAGATCACTCCTAGTGATTGCATTATCAAGAAGGACTTTAGTATCGAGAATCCTCCCAATGTCGAAGGCCGATATGAGCACGTACCCCGATACATTAGCCTAATAATGGAGCAGCTCATCAAGGATATTATGAGGGATCGTCGATGGGGGGACTATGTCAAGATTCAGATCCTGAAGCCTGACGAAAGCATAACTACCCACAAGGAGGGGCTTTTGAGTGTTTACACTTACCCCTTCACATTGGGCCCCCTCGATCCAGTGGTGATCAACTTTTGCAAGACATACGAAGTCACCTTTGGCCAAATCCACCCTTCGTTCTGTCGTATCATTATCATGTTGCGGTACTTCTCTGAGAAGGCCAAGGGTTTCGAATTCACCCTCAGCCACCTAGTTCGGTTGTATCGACCCTAGTTATTCCGAGAGCTTATCAAGATGCAGCGTCGAACCACGAAGTCCTTCTTCGCTAGTATTGATGAAACCAAAGATCGAGGTTGGATGAGTCGATATTAGAGTAAGGACTTCGGACATCATCCCCGAGGGAAAAATGTCATTCCCGGAGAGGTGGAAGTTTAACCGTAAGTGGAGTCCGCATTTTCCTTTGTATTTATTCTTGTTTTTTTCATTTTTCATAGCTTACTCATCTTTTTTTTGGCAGCCAATGCTAGGGCGCCCTTGGCGGTGCCTGACCTTGAGGATTGGGTTAGGAAACTAGCTGCCACATCCTCTTATGACAAGCATAAGTGGTGTGATTTGGCAAAGGGCAAATGGGAGGCCAAGAACCATGGCCTTGGAGATGCTTCCGAGATGAGACCGGACCCGCCCGGGGAAACAACGAAGCCTTCAAATTCAAAGCTCGAGAAGGATAATAAAAGAAAGAGGGTCTCGAATCCCGAAGACCCCCAAGACAAGAAAACCTCCATTCGAAGGCTGCAGAAAAGATTTGCTCAAACGGGCGCAGACTCAGCCCATGACTCCCTAGGTGGTGAGGAGGATAATGAGGAAGAACCAGTTCTGGTGACTCAGACTGGGAGGCCAGTCGAGACCGTCAAGCCTTCCGAACTAGAAAATCCACCTTGTGGTGTGGATGCCGGAAGAGAAGAGGCGGGTAAGGCCCCCATGTCTCCGGAGGTTGAGATCGTCCCTCCGTCTTCAACAACTATGCTTGAGGGGGTAAATGCTGAGGGCCCCAAGGTTAATGAGAATGCCCCGAGCGAAGAGCTCGGGGCCAAACAACAGGTCGTTCCCTTTTATTGCCAACTTATTCTAGGGAGGCAATCGAGGAAACCGACAGTTTGCATATGACCGATCCAAGTAAGGTCATCGGGGACGATCCTTTCCAGAGTTGCTACACTGGAGTTGAGGCTGCCGATGATTTCAATAATGCATCCTCCATTTTTGAAGATGCCCAGCGTCTCTTTTCTCGGGTAAAGACATGCCCTATCTATTGCAAGTTCTTCTCCCTTTGTCTTCCTCTTCTACTGACGCATCATTATTTCACGTATAGGTTGTTGCAAAGTTCAAGGATGAACTGAGACAATGTGAGGTCAAGCTAAAGAGAGTCTCGGGTGAAGAGAAGTCCTAGAGGCTCCTTTGTAGTTAGAAGGAAGAGGAGCTTAAGGATCTCCGAATTGCTTTGGCCAAAGCTCAAAAAAGCGAGTCCGAGCTGGATGAGCAGGTAACTTTGATTTTAACAAAGTTAGGCATTCTTGGCCCTACTTTGGAAGCTAATACTTCGATATCTCAGCTACAGCAAAAGTTGGATATGATTGGGTAGCTCCGGGACGAGGTGAATCAAGTTTGGGTTGATTGCCTCCAGTGGAAGGAGAACGTGGATCAACTTGCCGTTGAAAAGGAAGTCGTTAAGGCTCAACTGACCTCGGCTGAAGCTCAGCTCCGTGGTGCTGAAGTGAAAGGCTTGGCTCAACCCAGGGAACTCAAGGGGCTAGGGGCCGAGCTTGCTAAAGCCCGGAGTGAAGCTGCATATGCTAAGGCTGAAACTGCACAAGCCAAGGCTGAAGCCGAGAAGACGAAAGCTTTGGCTGATAAATCCATTGCTATATACAAGAGAGAAGTTATGTCCATTCAAGCTGAGTTAAGGGCGGCCTCCAACTGGGCAAAACGAAGAAATGAATTGGCTAAGTGTCAATCCTAGAGGGAGACTCTCGAGGAAGTCCGTGCTCGAGGGTTCGACCTTGCCAAGGAGATAGCCGAGGCACAGGCATGGGAAACTGATGCTAGGTTTCTTGTCTTCTCTAATGATGAGAACGTGGTGAGTGGTTTCAGGGACAAGGAAAGTGGAGAGGATGCTCCCGAAGGGGAAGAGACTCCAGAAGATAAAGCTATCGGAGATGAAGGCGGCACTCCCGGGGACGTGGCCCCGAAAATATATTAGGTTTCTATTTTTATATAAGAGTCCTTCGTTGTAACATGCTTTGTAAATTTCCCGGATGAATATAAAGTAACTTTTTGCTCTGTTCTTGATTTGTGCTGACTATTTATTTTGTCTCCGTTCATAAAAAATTTCTATGATTCACCTGTTAAGTTCGAGTATTGGTTTAGACTCGCAATAAGCTCTTAGGCTTTTATTGCTCGGGATTATATCCCTTAGGGTTTAAGATGATCCCCGAGCCAAACATAAAGTCAAATTAATGCGAGCTCGGGGCCTTTGGGTCCGGATTAAACGAGATTGGGGTCTTAGACTCCCATAGGTCTTTGACCCTATATTTTTTTTCAAACTGGCCCATAGGCTCTTTTATATCGGCCCTTAGGCTCTCTCTTTTTAGAATTGGCCCTTATGCTCTTTAGGTTAGCTCTTAGGCTATTTTAGGTTGGCCCTTAGGCTCTTTTAGGTTGGCCCTTACGCTCTTTTAGGTTGGCCCTTATACTCTTTTAGGTTGGCCCTTAGGCTCTTTTAGGTTGGCCCTTACGCTCTTTTAGGTTGGCCCTTATACTCTTTTAGGTTGGCCCTTAGGCTCTTTAAATTGGGCCGTTTCGGCCTGTAAAAATGGCTATATAGTTTTCCCTCACTTCGGCTAAAATACTTAATAAAATTTTAGTTATGCCTTAGCATGTTTTTTGTACCTATTGGGTTTTTTGAAGGCTCGATGTATCGGAACCTTATTAGTTGTTTTGTTTGCGTGGACATGATTGAATCCCTCTTAAGGGTTTTCCGAAGGCTAGTGTTATCGAAGCCCTTGGATTGTTCGGGGGCTGATTTATTGAAGCCCTTAGATTTTTCAAGGGCCGAATTTTTCAAGGCCCCTTATATTTTGCTTTTGCCGGGGCTAGCCTGATTTAACCGATTTTTCAATGTTTGAAGGCCTTTAGTTTTATAGCGAAAATCGGACATCTCCGAATCACGTTATTTTGGGCATAGCCTTTGTGCGACCGTAGTCTTTAGTATGGTCGTAGCCTTCGGGTTTGTCACTTGGACTCGTTTCCTGATAACCTTCTGAACTTGTTCGAAAAGTTAGTCCTTGAGTGAGTTGTCCTTGGCATTCGTTTCGAGAGGGGTGACTCTTTAAGGTCTTATAATGCCTCTTTGAGGTCTTATAAGTCTGATTTTTTGATGACTTCGATATATTGACTGTTAATGACAGTCCCCGGGTATTTCGGGGTGTTTTGGCCCTTGAACCACTTCCCGTAGGATTGTAAGTATAGAGCTTGTATGAGATACAAAGTGTTTTTTGATATAACCAAAATGCTTCTTTAAATAGTTAATACATGCGTACACGCTTTGCCATTGGGGCTCAATTATTCTATATGGACACGGTTCATTTGACCGTTTGGCCCATTACAAAGTTCTCATGTCGAGGCCCTATTAGGCGCGAAATGTCTTTTCTGGAGCTATAACCTCCGAGGGTGATGCCCCCCAGTATTCAAGATTGATTGAAAAGAAGCCTTGAATACTCGTTGAGTGACCCTTGCGTAGAATATAGGTATTGCCTCATTAAAAACCTTGCCGGTAAAACCCATTTGGGATAAAACCCGATCTAAGGGAAAAAGAGTGCAACGAATGCTTTCATACCCAAGGTCTTCGAGCTTAGCAGTAATATCGCTTGAGCATTGATATATTCCAATTATTTGGTAGTTGCTCGCCTTCTATTGTACTGAGTTTGTAGGATCCTTTCCCTATGACTCCGAGGACACGGTACGGTCCTTCCCAATTGGGACCTAGCTTCCCTTTGTTTGAGTCTTGAGTGTTAAGAGAGACTTTCCTCAGTACTAAGTCCCTGACTTTGAAATATCGAAGTTTTGTCCTTCTGTTGTAATACCTTTCGATTCTTTGTTTTTGCGCAGCCATTCATATTAATGCAGCCTCACATTTTTCATCTAGTAGCTCGAGAGAAGTGGTCATTGCTTCGTTATTTGAGTCTTCGGTGGCATGCTAAAACCTTACGCTAGGACTCCCCAACTTCTACTGGGATTAAAGCTTCGGATCCATATACCAAAGAAAAAGGGGTCTCCCCCGTACTTGACATCGATGTTGTTCGGTATGCCTATAATACCTCAGGCAACACCTCTCTATTTCCCCTTTTCATCATCTAGCCTTTTCTTCAAGTTTTGAATAATGGTTTTGTTGGTGGACTCGGCCTGCCCATTTGCACTCAGGTGGTAAGGTGCCGATAGGATCCTTTTGATTTTATGTTCCTCGAGGAATTTTGTCACTTTGCTGCCGATGAACTATTTTCTATTGTCACATGTTATTTTGGCGGGTATCCCGAATTGGCATATGATGTGTTCCCATATGAAATTGATGACTTCTTTTTATCTTACCTTCTCGAAGGCATGTGCTTCAACCCATTTTGAGAAATAGTCAGTCATAAAAAAAATGAATCTAGTTTTACCTGGCGCCGTTGGTAGGGGGCCGACGATGTGCATCCCCTATTTCATGAATGGCCATGGGGATAGGACCGAGTGAAGTTGTTCACCGGGTTGATGAATTATTGGTGCAAATCTCTGGCATTTATCCCACTTCCGAACGAACTCCTTGGTATCATTTTCCATGCTATCCTAATAATATCCTGCTCTGATCACCTTACGAACCAGAGAGTCTACACCAGAATGGTTCCCACAGGAGCCTTCATGTATTTCCCAGAGTACATAATCTGTATCATGGGTCCCAAGAACACTGCCAGTGGTCCATCGAAGGTACTTCTGTATAATGTTCCATTTTCATCAAGGGAAAATCAAGCCGCTTTGGCTCGGAGTGTTCTTGACTCCTTTGGGTCCGAGGGGACCTTCCCATGCTTTAAATAATCGATGTATTTGTTCCTCCAATCCCATATTAAGCGTTTCGAGTTAATTTCTGCATGGCCTTTTTCGATCACTGACTTTCACAACTGGATGACAGCCCCCGGGACGATATCATCTTCTTCAACTGACGATCCCAAGTTTGCTAGTGCATCAGCCTCGCTGTTCTGTTCTCGAGGTACATGATCCAGTGTTCATTCTTTGAAGCGGTGCAACGTTATTTGAAGTTTGTCCAATTACCTCTGCATTCGATCGTCTCAAACCTCGAAGCTTTTGTTTACATGGTTTACCACCAAAAGGGAATCACATTTTGCCTCGATGACCTCTGCTCCAAGGCCCTTGGCTAGTTCAAGACCTGCGATCATGGCTTCATACTCGGCCTCATTGTTAGTTAATTTAGAAGTTTTAATAGATTGCCTAATAACACTGCCGATAGGTGATTTCAAAATGATGCCGAGCCCGGACCCTTTCACATTCAAGGCACCATCCATGAAGAGGGTCCAAACCCCCACCGATGTATTCGTTTTTAGCAAGAGTTCCTTTTCTACTTCGGGTACGAGGGCATGAGCGAAGTCGGCCATGAAGTCTGCTAAAATTTGAGACTTGATGTCCATCCGAGGTTGATATTTGATATCATATCCTCCAAGTTCGATGGCCCACTTGGCCAATCTACCCGATAATTCGAGCTTATGCAAGATATTTCGAAGTGGATATGTAGTTAGTACACATATAGGATGGCATTGAAAATATGGTTTTAATTTCCTAGATGCGCTTGCTAATGCAAGAGCTAATTTTTCCAAATGTGGATACCTAGTTTCAGCACCCCCTAGGGTCCGACTCACATAATAAACAGGAAATTGCGTACCTTGCTCTTCTCGAACAACACTCCACTTACCGCTAACTCTGACACAGATAAATACAATTAGAGTGTTTTACCCTCCTTCAGAATATGGAGCAAAGGAGGGCTCGAGAGATACCGTTTTAATTCTTCTAGGGCTTGCTGGCACTCTGGGGTCCATGCGAAGTTGTTCTTCTTTTTAAGTAGGGAGAAGAAATGATGGCTCCGATCTGATGAACTCGAGATGAATCGACCCAGGGCAGCAATCCGTCCGATCAGCCACTGCACGACTTTTACGTTGTTCACCATAGTGATTTCTTCAATGGATTTGATTTTATCGGGATTGATTTCTATGCCCCTATTCGATACCATGAAGCCCAAGAACTTGCCCAAGCCGACTCTAAAAGTGCATTTCTCGGGGTTGAGCTTCATGTTATACTTTCTAAGGATGTCAAATGTTACCTGTAAATGGGTCAAATAGTCCTCTGCGTGCAGGGATTTAACTAGCATATCATCAATATAAACTTCCATGGATTTGCCTATTTGATGCTCAAACATCCTATTAACTAAACATTGATATGTGGCCCCTACGTTCTTTAGCCCGAAGGGCATTACATTATAGCAGTATGTACCAAACTTCGTGATGAACGAAGTCTTTTCCCGATCCTCTGGTTCATTTGAATCTGATTATACCCGGAGTAGGCATCGAGAAAGGTAAGAATCTCATGGCCAGTCGTAGCATCGATCAAACGATCGATGTTGGGCAATGGGAAAGAATCTTTAGGGCATGCTTTATTCAGGTTTTTGTAATCTACACACGTTCTATGTTTATTCCCCTTTTTAGGGACTACCACTATGTTAGCTAGCCATTTGGGATATTTTACTTCCCTAATGGATCCTATTTTGAGAAGTTTGGTTACATATTCCTTGACGAATGCATGTTTTACCTCAGATTGAGGTCTCCTCTTCTGCTTCACCGGTTTAAACCTAGGATCGACACTTAGTCGATGGGTAGTAATCTCCAGTGGAATTCATGTCATATCTAAATAGGACCAAGCAAAGCAATCAATATTATCGATGATAAATTGAATGAGTTTTTTCCTAAGTTCGGGGATTAACCCCGTCCCCAGGTATACCTTTTGTTCCGGAAGATGCTCGATCAATATGACCTGTTCGAGTTCTTTAATCATGGATTTCGTTGCATCTGATTCATCGGGGGCAACGAAAGTTTGAGGGGTGAGGAAATCTTATTCTTCGCTCTCGGCCACCTGTTCATTGGACATTTGTCCCTCGGGCTCAACCGATGGCACAATCTGTGATTGCTATTTGGTCACCTGTTCATCCTTTGACTTCTCCGATGTGGATGGAATCGACATCGATACTAAGTCGTACACTGCAAACATTTCCTTGGCCATAAGTTGCTCTCCATATACTGTTTTCACGCCATCCTTCATTGGGAACTTTATCATTTGGTGGAGGGTCGATGGTACCGCCCTCTTGCTATGGATCCATGGCCTTCCGAGCAAAGCATTGTATCTCATGTCACCTTCGATGACATGAAATTTGGTGTCTTTTATGGTTCTGGCCACGTTGACTGGGAGGATGATTTCTCCCTTCGTCATTTCACTTGCCATGTTAAAGCCATTCAAGACCCGAGACGCCGGTATGATTCGATCGAGCAACCTGAGCTGCTCCACGACCCTGGACCTGATTATATTCGCCAAACTACTTGGATCCACGAGAACACATTTAACTTGAACTTTATTTAAAAGGGTAGAAATTACCAGTGCATCGTTGTGAAGTTAAGATAAAGCC